TATTTCTAGTTTTCAAAAAAAAAAATTCATATTCAAGATCTCAATGTTAAAGATTACATATTCTCTAAAAACTTATGATCAAACTGTATTTAAAAAATATAATTATTGCCTAGCCCGCATTTCTACAATATGCGGGCTGGCTGCATAGAAACTGTGTCCTATATAATTGTTACTATATATATTATTGAAATTACCAGAAAAATAAATCATAAATGTATTTGTGTGTGTATACTTATAAAATGTCCTACTTATAAAATGTCCTATCAATTTTTAAGAAGTGATATTTTACAAATAAAATAATGAACAATCAATCTTTTAGCATTGTCAATATGCTGAACACATGCAATTAAGGACTTTAGTGCTAGAAAGTCCCAAAAAAAATTACGAAATCTAAAAAAGAAGTACACTTAGAGTCTATAGATTACACTTAGAAAAAGCACTTAGAGTCTCTAGACATACAGTTAGAGTCTATAGATTACACTTAGAAAGAGCACTTATAGTCTCTCGACATAAGAGTATAGTTAGCGTCTATAGACATAAGCAAATAAAAATCACGAAATCCAAAAATAGATTTTTTATTATAAATCTATATAATGGACGAAAATGTTAATTTAAAAATCAAGGAAAAGATCATAGGGAATATTTGAAGTTAGATACAATAAATGCATGAAATAATACAAAGGGCATTACGAAATCCAAGAAAAATATTTTATTATAAATTATATATTTCAAATGAAAATGAAGAGAAAAAAGCAAATATATGAATAATTGCATCATTAGAATACACTTTGAAATAATATAAAATAATAAAATTATCGATTAAGTAGACAATTTCGAGGAGCGGATCAAGATCCTTTGTAGTCAAGGATCAATCCCTTTAAATAGGGAATCGAGATCCAAGGATTGAGATCCCTTGATGGAGGAAGTGAGTACAACTCGGACTCCAGCTCCTGGATCGCTGAATCGAGATTCCAAGAGGGGATCACCACCCCTTGACCAAGATCCCCGCAACTATAGAGTGCTTATTAAAATGTTGCCACACATTTGTGTTAAAATCCAGCAGCCTAATATATTGGAAATCAAAAAAGTGTAAGGAAGATCAAGATCTAGGAAGAGAAAATGTTGGATAGAGATGAGAGCGACAGAGAGAGAGTCACATGAGAAAGAAGAGAAGGTAACAGAGTCACTGTGATGTCTGTAGATACTCCATGTATTTTATTACTAATAAAATTTTAAAGTTACAAAAATGCCCCTTAAGCAAGGAAAATGACAGAAATGCCCTTAAGGACTTAAATACAAGAGAAATAGATCAAAAATTTAATTATTCACAACACTCCCCGTCAAGCCAGTGCATAGATATTTATCATATGCCCAACTTGTTTAAACTCATTCGTCGTCGACATTTGCCCACAGCCTTGGTAAGAATATGCTAGCTGATCTTCTATTTTGACATACGGAAGACAAATTTCCTCAGTAGCAACCCTTTCTCGAATGAAATGACAATCAACTTCTATATACTTCATTTTGTCATGCTAAATCGAATTATAGGCTATACTGATAGCTGCTTGTTAACATAATACTAGGACATTGACCCTTACAGGAGAAAATCAAGTTCTCATAAAAGAATTTTTAGCCAGAGTAGTTCACCATGAGCCATGGATTTATACTCAAGTTCTGCACTTGATCTTCCTACTATTGACTGCTTTTTACTCCCCCAAGTCACAAGGTTTCCTCCAACAAAAATACAGTACCCCAATGTCAATCTTCAATCTATAATAGAACCAGCACAGTCTACATCTATATAAGATGCAACCCGTAAATGCCCATGATTAGCAAACAGCAGTCCTCTCCCTAGTGATTAGCAACCCGTCAAGGTGGATAGTTCGTGGGGAATGCATAAACCAACTAATCACGCTAACAGTATATGCAATGTCTGGACTTGTAAGTAAAAGCTATATTAATCGGCCCACTAATCTTTGAAACATACCCACATACTTGATAGCTTTCCAGTTCCTTTAAGTGTATCCAATATATACTTCCTTTGACAGATGAAAATTCCTCTTTTTGACCTTACAAGAAAGCATTACAGCGGGCCGAGATCTTTGATTTCAAATTCTCTCGTCAGAAAATCCTTTAGTTATCGAATTTCCTTAGGACAATTGCCAGTTACAACAATGTCATCCATGTATACAATTAGGCTTGTGGTGCTAGTAGGTAAATAAGCTATGGTCAACATGACTTCGAGTATACCCGATCTTTGGACAGCCCCACTAAACCTCTCAAACCAAGCCCAAGGAGATTGCTTTAGTCCATAGATGGCCTCTCTCAGTTTACATACTTTCCTCACATCCAAATTCACGAAACCCATGTGGAGGTACCATACATACTTCTTCTTATAATTCCCCATGAAAGAATGCATTCGTGATATCCAACTAATACAAGGGCGATTCCAATTAGCTGCCAAAGATAGAAGTACTTGAATGGAATTCATTTTAACTACTGGAGCAAATGTTTCAAGGTAGTCTATTCCATAAGTATGAGTATAATACCACATTAAAATACATATCTCTAAGCCTCCTGCTCTAATACCATGCTAAAATATTGCACTCTAGTAGATTAAAAAATTAAAAAAGTGTAAGGAAGATTAAGATCTAGGAACAAAGAGAAAGTTGGAGAGATAGATGAGAGAGGGGGGGAGAGTCAAGTGAGAAAGAAGTAAAGGAAATAGAGCCACGGTGGTGTCTCTTAGACACCCACGCCCCACCTATATGTATTTTATTACTAATAACAAGTTTTTTTTTATGCGAAATTACTAATAACAATTTTAAAGTTACAAAAATGCCCCTAAAGTAAGAGAAAGAACAAAAATGTCCTCCAGGAATTAAATACAAGAGAAACAAATAAAAAATTAATTACTCAAACCAATTTTCTCTTGGAATCATCTTCCATGCTATCTCAAGAAATGTGATAGGTTATAGAAGATACGCAGAGACTATTACATCTAGAATCCACAGGATACTGAGGCCACTACATTCATAATCATGGTTTCATGGATGAAACGGGAAAATAAATTGTATCAAGTCCCACAGGTGTGCAGTGCAGATTTGTTGTCAGCTTGCGTTGTTGTCCTCTATGTGATCTACATCTCTATCCAATTTATTGTCGTGCCAAATCTTCATTATTTTCTTGATCAATAATTTGACATCATGGGCCAGCTCCACTATCACTCTAGAATCTAAATCTAGTGCTCTATGATTGTTAACGAATCATAACTGCAGAAGCAGCAAAACTGACGAACTTTCTATAAGAAGAAATGAAAGCATGGGCATCGAGCTACCAGCCTAACGCATAGAGCACAGCATATAGAGCTACTAGAAATTTCACGATAGTTTAGTTCTAATATCAAACCCAAAATCATTATAACTTTCAACTTCTAGGTTTTTATCATGAAAGCCACAATGACTCAGTAAATCTTGCCCGAAATCCTTCAGAATAATGCACAAAATAAACTTGACCTTTGGCCCAAATAATCCCCAAATTTCATTGAAATATTTGATATGGAAAAAAAATTGATTTCTAATTTCTTCACTTTTATCCCCTTAGGAACATTGAAAAGTGGTTCTAGAGGTTCCTTTTTTTTTTTATTGACAAGGTTACATGGGAATGGATCTTGAGACGTAGCACAATGAAAACCCAGCTGCTACCGTCTTATTCCAAGCCCAATACCTATGGTTCCAAAGGGGTTTTGGGGAGGGTAATGGCAAAAATGCCCCTGCTCGTGGGCATTGTTCCACCCATGAGCAGGCTCCCGCATATGTGGGTGCAGCATTTAAGTGATGTGCCTGCATATGTGGGTAATGCTCCTGCATATTAGGGTGATGCGCCTGCATCACCCAAATATGTGAGAGCATCATCCAAACCTTTTAAGGATGGTAAGTGAGACAACACAATTGCCCAAATCTCCAAACTGCTATGAGTGAATAGTATGCAACCCCACAATCAGAAGAGCCCTAAACGACAATGATTCACAAGATCCAGTTTCTTTGTTGTAATTACTCCCAACTTTCTTTTCGCTCAAAGAGGGTCTGAACAATTCCAGCACCTTCACTCTCTCTTCTTTGTAGAGGGTCCTTGGCCTAAAGCCAGGCCCACACTGCAATCACAAACAAAATTTGGTCTATCCCATGCCTCACAAGGTCCAATCCCAAACCATAGTTGCTGGAACCTTCTAGGCAAGGTCACGGATCCGATCTGGAACCTCGATCCCATGATTCCAGCTAAGGATCTTGGATGGAACATGAATTCCCATATTGTGATCCTTGTTCCCAGCAGATTTGTACTGCGGTTCTCAAGTGTATGACGTAGTACATATGATGTTTTCTATAATCGGCACTGATTCATATGCACTTACTCAGGTTTGTGCCCAATGGTACTGTGAACCCACACATCATTTGTGATCCCTTAAAACTCACTATTGTGATTCCTACCTTATGGAATCGCACTTCCGTATGACAAGGATCATACTCCCTTGGTATAGAGTCGTACGGGCAAAAATCCTAACCACAAGGGACTTCGAGCAATCCACAGTTCTGCAGACCAGAACCACCTTCCACTCCTGGGAAGGCACCCGTACACGAATACTATGCCTCAAACTGTTGCATCACATGCAGAGAGGCAGAAAAAATGAAAACCCATCAATCTCTTCATTGCCGGGTAGTGACCCAGCTTGGGATGCACCTGCTGCAAATTTTTTAATGGGAATGGACACAAGCACGATGCAATAATTGCTACGGGCTTTCTTTACACAACCTTTCCCCACAGCTGGAATTTCCTCATGGAGAGCCTCAGTGCTAGTCCAAATGTGGAACAAAAAGTTTGGGGTAATTTGAGTAGTAAGTCTTGTAACATATGATCCCTTGGTATTTCAAATGAGATATGTCCAGAAGGGCAAATGTGCAAATTTCCTGCACCTTTACCACAGTTATCACTTATCCTAATCATAAATAGTATTAGTACCAATTTTGTCTTTTATTTTTAAAAGGGTGTGGTTTGTATAAGGTAGAGGCCCTAAACAATCAAAGTAAGAAGCACCTTCAAATTGTGTCGAAAGAAGTTTTAGTATTGGAAATCTTTGTGATGGCCAAAAATTTATTTTTATATCTAATTATAAAATTTAAAGCTCCAAATATGTCGTAGATCAAGCAAATCTATGAATGCTTTAAAATCTTGAAAATTGACGGTTCAGAAATGCATTACAAGATGCACTATTTCCAAGACTCAAAATCTATTTTTTTCTCATGTCCATACATCTTGAGGTCGAGATGATTGATTTGAGGATTTTTGGGCCATCAAAACAAACTTTTCTAGTGAATTTTTGAGGTGCATCTTAATTTGATTGTTTAGAGCCTCAGCCTTATATAAACTTTTTCCTTTCTAAAAAATCTAATTCCTTAAATTTTGTCCTTAACATTGTCTAATCTTTGAGATTCTGAATTATTCAATCTATTCGCACAAGACACGGAGGATGGGAAATGCATTCTCCCATCAATCAATTCACAAAAAACACAGCGTCCGAGTTTGATGATGACAACGTTGAAAAGCACAATTCCACCGATGTGGAGTTACATGACAAATGCAGGAGAAGTTGAGAAGGGAGGTAAGGGCAGCACAAAGAGAATGTGTAATTCCTGATGCAGAAGAAGTCCATTCACAAGCTCACTTGTTAGGGGTTAGCCCGGAGAGAACGCCAAGGGGCTATCAGTAAGCCCCAAAATAACAAAGGAAGAATAAGAAGCTTTAAGTAAATAATGATTAGGATCTTCCAGCATGTGAAGATCCCCCACTCCCACATCCAACAAATAGGGTTGGACTTGGACCTTTAAAGCCGTGAAAATATGGAACACGAGAGACACATCCATAAGTTACATTTAGGCATAGGTATGTTATAACATGTTCTTGGTCTTTCAGTTACTGGATCGGCCAGGGGTATCACTACATAAAAAACAGTATACTCACCAACTAGTTGTTTCATGCATCAACTGATATACCTGCTGAACAACAAAATATGGACATGGACATATTCATGTGTTCATCTTCTCATCTATAGAAAGAAGCATATATAAAGATGACTAGAATGAATTCCCAAACAACAAATTGTCCACTACTGGTTTTATTTTCCATGGGAGACTAATTTGTTTCATGAAATACGAGCAGCATGATATGCTAACTTAGCCAAGTTTTTAAAGCTGAATACAAGTCATGTCAATTACCCAGAGTGAGAAGAGTATGGCTTCACAATCTATTGATATGAACTTTTGGAGTTCATACCCTGCTAGATCTGAGTGACTAGGGCGAGTCCTAGGTCACTGAGTTCTCAAACACTGTTTGCCATCGTGCATAAGGGGTGGCAATCACAGCTCTAGACAGGGATTCATTTCAGGACGGACTACTTATGGAAAAGGCCCTGGGCAGTGGACTTTAGACAACAAAGAAGGTGTATTTTGAGACTTTGTCATTCCCTTGTGGTTCCCATGAGAAACAAGTGAAGAAACTCCTAGCCATTAATAAACATACCCTTAACAACTTCCCGTCCTTTTCCTACATTGATGAAGAGTTCCTTTGCCAAACCAAGGTGGCAATCACTTTCTTTTCTTTTTTTTTTTTTTTGGGGGGAAAGGGAGTTGTTCAGCAGGAAAGGGTTCGATACTCATGGTAACGATGGAACTCAAGACGACATATTGTGGAACCTGGCCACCCTGACCACCTAGCCTTGAGCCAATTACTAGGTGGCCATAACTTCTATAGACCTAAGGCCTTTCAAGGCTTCAAAAAGTCAATAAGACATCAGTTATAATCCTTTCTAACATGATAGGGATAGAATGTGAGATACAAGAGAAAGAAATCATTCCACAATTTCAATAAAATCCATGATAAAAAAACATACTGGTATTTTCTCAAATAAATAAGAAAAAATTCTAACGTAAACATCTGCGTTTCAAGATTAAAAAAAACTCAGGATGAATTACATAATGAATACAACAAGATAGCATACATTGATTTCACGATCCTCTCCATCTTTATCAAGGTAAGCAATGTTTGAGTCCTTCAAGGAATGGACATTTCCATGTTCATCAACTTTTGCATCCCCGAGCATCACTAGACATTGCTGCCACTCCTTCAACTCTTCCTTGAGAGAAAATATATACAGTAAAACAAATATAGATGTTAATTTGCTTGACTCCACATATATATAGACCAGACCAATACGCAAATAACTTGCTGTGGAAGTATATAGTTCTTGGAAGCATTGATTCAATGACAAATAAACATTAAAACAATGAAAAGCAACAAAAAACCTATCTATAAAGTTTTCAAATTTTACAAATAACATGAGAATGTGTTTGACTTCAAAGGAATTTATGAACAGTAGTCTTCCTTGATAGGTAATGGAAAGAAACATATACTCCTGTATAAAGAGGAGAGGAAACGTTCAAGTTAGATGAAATTTCAAAATATAGACAAGGTGACAAGATATGCATATCTTAAATTCAACAATGTTATGCATGTCTTAAGCTCAACAATGCCAACTATGAGAGAGAACTAAAGATGAAAAAAGGAAAGGAAAAAGACAAAGATTGAACTGGAACATTCACAGATGAAATTGATATTAAGAGATTCAATCAAGCATCACCATGGGTGTTGTTATACACAAATATACCTAATTTAGGTGCTAACACCATCAAAACACATTTTTCGGGGTAGTTTGTTGGTAGCATTTGAACATGGGACATAGCGTGGCAACCATCAACACGTTATCTCAGGCCCAACCCCAACCCTAACCCCAAATCCTATCAGAATGGAATTCAACCAAAGCTGCCCTAGTAAAAGATGAAAAATAGCAGGAAGAAAAAGAGAAAATAAATAAATAACAAAAGACACTATCAAAACGATCATCAAAGCCACGAAGCACTTCTACTTTCAAAACATGCGCCAGTATGAAAATATAGCTCAAAAAAAATTTACAAAGCAGGTTAGCAAGAAACTAGCCCATTAATCCAAAATGCAGAGAGAAGTTACTGAACAATAGACCTAGTAACAAAGTTCGTCCAAAAAAATAAAGTTACTGAATAATAGACCTAGAAACAGGGAATCAGCAAAACTTCATAGAAAATTTCAAGAGCTCAAGTATGCGTAACTGATAGTGTGACAAAAATGGACAAGCCTTCAAATGCTAAACCCTAAGAAAATTAAGATAGACGGAGAGAGAGAGAGAGAGAGAGAGAGAGAGAGAGAGATCACTGTGAAAGGTGAGAAGGTACATACGAGGCACTTGGCAGCAAGGTATCGGAAGCGGAGGTCTCGGAATATGATCTTGGAGGAGGTGAGGAGGTGGAGGGCTCTGCGATAGTGATGGCCTAGGAAGAGAGCCTGAGCCTGCATGTATATATCAGCCGTGTCTCCTGTGAAAGCAGCAACTTTGTCCGCGAAGAAAATGGCAGAGGAGTAGAGGTGCTTGCTGACACAGTCCCTCACCACTCCCCTTAGCTTCTCTACCTCTTCATCCTTCATTTTCTCTCTCTCAAGAAATTATCTCCTCTCCTCTCTCTCTCTCTCTCTCTCTCTCTCTCGTCGTACGTACGTTACGTACGTACGTCGTCGTTCGTTCGTTACGTTACGTTACGTTACGTTCGTTACGTTCGTACGTTACGTAGTTACGTTACGTTACGTT